TATTTAGGTAATAATCAATAGCTCCAGTCATTCTTCCCAGATAACACCAAGGGTCTGCAACCCACTGAGTACGAGTGTCTCACAGCAAACCAGCCCTTAATGAAGATTGCTGACTGACAGGCTTCATTAACCCGAGCAGAGAGATGAGGTCAAAGCTCTGCTGTACCTAGACAGAGACCAGTGATGGTAACTCTGCATCCACCACCAGCTCTGGAGAGAGGGGAAAGCAAACCAGCACCACAACAGAGACTGGTCTGCATCCTGCAGGAGGAGATATGATGCTGAGTGGTCCCAAAGTGCATTCATTCCCTCACTGAAGTCCTGCTAACCTTGACCTGGCATCTCCCTCCAATCTCCTCCGTTCAAAAGCTGAAGAGATCTGTCCTGCAACAAGTCCTTCTCCTCCTACAACCCACCAAAAAAAGCTGAGGAAGGAACAAGGAGATGAAATCCAGGACTAGACATGTCATTTTGAACTGATTTAGCCAAAGCATGTTGCTCAAAGGGGCAACTCCACCCACTTCCACCCTCAGTAACAACTGATTTTTCCTTAATGATGGCAAAGCCCAGCTAAGGGAAAGGTATTTTAAGAATAAGCATACAACATCAAAGACTTGTACCAAGAGCTTTCCCTCCACATTACAAACAATACTATGCTTGTGCATCATCTCAGAAATGCAGCACACATCTCTGGCATCCCCTCATGGCCTTTGAAGTGCAGATTTAGAGAGCCCCAATTCAAAGTGCAATATCTGTAACCTTAATTTGAGGGTTGAAAAGCCCTCAAAATACAGCAGGGACTGAAAGTAAGTCACAAAATTCAGGTACTTTCCTTTGTTAAAAGCATTAACAGGATGCATGTAGGAGATCTTAGCTCCACCTGGGCAGACCAAGTCAAGAATTGAATTCCCTTTCCCCAGCAGCATTTTTTTTAACTTTAGAAAGTTAAAGTACTCAAAACCAAACTGCCTTTTAACTCCTTAAAAGAAGCACACTTCGTTCTGTCTAGGGGAGGATGAAAACAATTGTTTTGTTTTTTTTTTTCCCTGAGGTTTTTATTTTTAATGTTTTTAGAGGGTTTTTTTTCAGGAAAAGGGGGCTGCATGGGAACACACCTCTGGATCTCCCCACCTGTGCCACCTCCCAGCTCACCAGCTCTGTGCCACAGGTAGGATGCATCAGGCAGACAAACACACAGGATCCTCAGCTGGTAAAGCAAAGGAAAAATGAAGAAAGGCTATGTTGCATCTCAGTAACAATGACAGAATCATGGAATTTTACCTCACCAGCTTCATCAGAGGGCTTCCCCATCCACCTGCCCCAGATGAGTTGGTGGGACAGATGAAGAGGAGCACATCCCTTTCCCCCTGCACTGAAGAAAACAGAGGAGTGGCAGTACTGACACAGAAGGAACAAAGCAGGGACAAGGCTGGATTCAGCTGGTGGAGCACTGCAGGGCTCTCCTCCTGCCTGCTCACTGCTCCACAGCAGCTACAGAGGCACAAGAGCCCAGGTGCTCTCCTCTTCCATTGCCAAACCACCTCTCTGGTGGCAGCTCTGCTCCCCAGCATTTTACCACGTAATATCCCAAAAATCTCCATTATTTCTATTGCAGGTTTTCCCACCACATAGGCAGGGCCTTCTGGTACTGGAGATCAGCTGGTAAAGTTAAAAGAAAAAGCCAAATAGACATGAGGAAGAAAGCAAATTGGGAAGGTGTGCTGGGTTTCCAAAAACAGGTGTTGAGACAGCACACCTTCCCAATAAAATCCCTGTGGATAAACACCACCTTCACCAACAAGTTGTAAAAATCCACTGGAGAGGATTTTGGTCCCTCTGAAAAACTGCAGGGAAATTGAAGAGCTGCAGAGGATTTGTTTAACACATGTGAGGGCTTTTAACAAGGTTTTCTTTCGAGGGAGAGAGGACGCAGAAGTAGGGAGCAGCAAGTGTGAGTGTCAGCTCTGCTCCCAGAACAGTCACGGATGTCCTGCAGGACACGTCCCACATGGGATTATAGAGGAGTGCACAGCAGTGCCTGATGAAAAGGAGACGGCTCAGGTTCCAGCAGTGCTGCTAACCCAGCCACACGACTTCCAGAACATGACCCAGCTTGTTCAGCAGTCACTGCTACACTTTGTTTTTATGGTGCTACACAGCCCAGATCCCTGCCTGCAGCACGGGGATAACCCCTTGGCCACACTACAGAAAGGCACATCTAGGACCAGAGCATCATTCCAAAACAAAATGAGAAGCATCCTTAGAAAAAGGTGCTGGAAAAGCACGACCTGAAGCTTTGGAAGAAGTTAAGAGAGTTTTCTGCAGGGTGACATTGTGTCAGCACTCACCAAGAGGCAGGTGGGACACAAAAAACCCCACTCGTCCGGATGGGGAACAAGTTGGTGAGACACTGATCCCTGCTTTGCCAAAAAGTGGCCCAGATGCCAAACCCCACCACAGACCCAATCCAAAACATGCTGACAGAGCTTAGAGCATTGTTTTGCCCCTGAGTGCACCTACCCTGCACAGAGAGAATGATCAGAATCCTTTTATTTAACCAAAAGGAAAAAGAAAAGACCCCAGCAGGGTTGGAAAAAAGTAGCATGGTCCCAAAAGCACACCCCAGGCTGAAGTGACAGCTATTACGAGGCTCTTTTCTGCTCCAACTCCAACAGCCATAAAAGCTTTCCAATGCAGGAGAAGTCCAGAACAGCAATCTGGACAGAAAACGATTCATAAATCCTGGAAACATAAATGATTCGCCTGCCAATTCCAACACGATGCTCCCAGCCCCAGGACCCACACGTGCCAGCAGCCTGTGCAGAGGGCTCCCCCAGCAATCCAGGCTGGGGCCAGGGGGACAGCATCCCCCTTCCCCACACTGCTCACAAAACCAGCCAGAGTTTCCCCAAACTTGAGCAAATCAGTGCTATTTTTTTTTTTTTGATGAATGATTACGTTGCAGCATCTCAAACAAATTCATGCTGAGAGCATGTGTCTCCACCAGAAGCAGAAGGTGGGAGGGATGAGGATAAGACAGTTTGGGGGGAGGAAAAGCACGATTTCCTTTTGTAAAGAGCGTACCCATGTGAAAAACTGCTAACTTCACCTCAGCAGGGAAAAAAAAAAACAAACACCCTAAAAAGTGTTTTTCTGTCCTTGGAGATCCAGCACAGGCTGACACCAGGCTGCCAAGGCACTTTATGTGATGAAGGAAGTCTTACAGATGCTTTAAAATTAGTATATTAAAATAAAATGCCATTTTAATTTAAAATACTGCACTATATAGTTAATCCTACATAGTAATGTAATCCTATATAATAACGTTTACTTTTCTGAAAGTGTATTTTGAAAAATAATTACAAGTTGGGAATGAAAAATGGCCAGTAAAGATACAGCTGTACTGAATTAAGTTGGGCATTTCCCACTTGTTTACTGACCCTGCACCTTTTAGCACAACTAAAAGCGGCAAGTTAAAAGAGAAACATGAGGTGTTATGTCATCTTTAAGCTACACTTTAACACACAGACCAGGTTTAGATTCCTCTAGACAGCGTGGGAGACTGAAAATCCACGCACAGCTGGAGATGCCTTTGATAATTTGTTTAAAATAGAGCTGACACAACTAATTTTGCCCCATTTCAGTGGTCCAAATAAATAGGTTTCTTCAGGGATGTAACTTCTATCTAAGCACATGTGCTATTCACACAAATAACGTGAACCCAGGCCAGGAAAAGGCAAAAAAAACAGGATTTAGTTAAGCGGACATAAACACCATCCTACTTTTAAAGCTACCTGAACTCCACTAGGTCCTGCTAGCAAAAAAAACCCTACAAACCTTAAAGTAGTTTCTAGGGATGTACACGAGCCTGAAGAATTTTTAAAAAGGGATGAAATACCAGCGTAAGCGTCTGCCAAGTTCACAGCACGGGAGGACGAGCAGAGGGATCCGGCTCGCTATAAAAATCGCAGGAAAATTAATGAGTGCACGAGGAGCTCTCGGGTTTCCCTGCATCCACGCGTCGCTCCAACAGGTCCTTCCGGAGAGCTGCGCTACGGAGCCGGAGAGCGGCGAGAAGCCACGGGGGAGCCCGCGGCCGTGCCGGAGCGGGACGGCGGCGGGAGAGCGGCCCGGCACGGCGCTCTCACGGCAACTCCGCGGGAAGTTGGGCGGGCCCCGGGACCGGGAGCACCGCGCCCCCCCCGCCGGCTCTCGGAACGCCCCCCCGGGCGGGCGGGAGCCCCGGCGGCGGCTCCGGCGCGCGGTGCGGCCGGTACCGGGGCCGTGCGATGCGGGCGAGCGCTGCCGGGGGCGGTCCCGCCGCAGCCCGGGAGCGGCACCGGGCGGAGGGCGGGCGGAGGGGCGGGGGGAGGAGGCGGCGCCCGGCTCGCAGCGCGCCCAGCGGCCGCCGCACGCTCCGCCCACCGCTCCCGCCATGCCGGGGCCGGGACACCCCGGCGGGGCGGGGCGGGGCGGGAGGACGCGCGGCCGCCCGCGCGGGCCGGGGCTCCCCGGGGAGCCGCGCCGCGGGCACCGACCGGCCCCCCCCCAACCCCGCGCCGCCGCCGCACCGGCGCCGGGCCCCGCCCCCTACGGATCGCCGGAGGGGGCCGGCCCCGGGCCCGGCGGCCTCCCGTCCCCGCCGCCCCGCTCTTCCTTACCTCGAAGCTGCTCCTGGCAGCGGCCGCGTCTCCCTCAGGGTCCGGGGGTGGCGGGCACCTCCCGGGCGGGCGGCGGGGGCGGGCTGTCCCCGGCGCAGTGAGAAGGGGGGGTCCCCGCGCCCCTCCTCCCGGAGGGGGGGGGCGGGCGGGGGCGGCGCCGGTGCCCCGGCGGGGGCGGGGGGCTCGGCGGGGGGGGTAAGATGGAGTAACCGTCTGTCGGCCGCCGCGGCGGAGCGCTGCCCGCTTCTCTGTTCCCCGGGAAATCCCGCCCCTCCTCGCGCAGGGGGGGAGCCCCGAGCGCCCGTTGGCTGGGACGCGCGCCCGTCACTCTCTCGGCCAATGGGAGCGCTGGCCCCGCCCACCAGGCCCTCCCCTATTGGCCGCGGCCCCCAGGAAGGGGATGTGGAGAGGAAGGGAGGGAGGAGAGGAGGGGGGGGAGCGACCGCCGAAGAAAAATGTCCGTATAAGCAGCGCGCCCCGCCCCCGTCCCGCCTCCCGCGCCGCCCTATTGGCTGCGACACCGGAGCGCCGGCCAATTGGCGAGCGGGGCCGCGCCGCCGTCACGACGAGAAGCCCACCCACGCGGCGAATTGGCCCTGCCCGCCACCGGCGAGGCCACGCCCCCCTCTCTGGGGAGCCCTTTTGTGGAATGTTTACATCGCGGCCGCGGCCCGCGCCAGCGGCTGCCCCCGTCAGCCCCCCCACCGGCCCCGAGCCCCGCCGCCAACCGCTTCGGCGGCGGGAGTGGCGGGGGGGACTTGGCGGCGGGGCTCGGTCCCGGGGGCGGCGCGGCGCTGCCTTTTGTCCCCGACCCCTTCACTTCCGGGATGGCGGCGCCCCACGTGGGGCGGGTCGGTTACACGTGCGGGCGGGGAGCACACGGCACACGCACACACGGGCTCCCGCACACGCCCCGCACACTCGCACACGCTCACACTCACGCACGCACGCACCGAGGAGGAGGAGGGGGGGGACCGTGGGCGGTGCGCGCCGCGGGGGGCGGCGCCCTCAGCGGCTGCAGCCAATGGCGTGCCAGGAAGGGGGCGTGGCCACCGCGGCAATGGCCCCCGCCCTCCCCCCGCGCACACACACTCAGTCACTCGCCTCCCCCCCCGCCCGCTCCCGCCGCCGTCGCGCGCTTCCCGCCGGCGGGATCCGCAGCGCGCGCGCGCTTCTCTCCCCTCCACCCCCCCCGCCGCCTTTCCCTCAGGTTCCCGCCCGGCCGCCGGCCCGGCGCTCGGGAAGCGATCCCCGTGAAGGGGGGCGAAACTGGGAAAGTGCGTGTGGGGGAAGCAGCTGTTACATACCCTCAGCGCGCAGGCGAGCAGCCCTGAATGGAGGGGGAACTCCCCCCGGGGCGGATTGGCCCCGCGGCGCCGATCGTCACGGCCGCGCCGCCCACGGCGGGAGGGGGGCCGCGGGCAGGGGTGTGAGGGAAAGGCCGCTCGGCGGAGGGCGGGGGGAGCCGAGCCGGCCGGTGCCCCCGCGGCGGCAGCCGGCGTTCCCCTCCGCTGGAACGCGAGATGGAGGTGGGGGTCAGTGCCGTCAGTCATCGTGTTTCTCTCCCTTTGCAAAGTTGCGGAGGGGGTTGCCGGCTTCCCCAGACGGAGGCTGCGGGAGCCAGGCCTGGCCGCCCGTCAGTGCTCATCTGGCCGTCTGGAGCGTGCTCGGGAAAGGGTGAAATACAAACACACATATTGCACGCTTCTATTCAAGTGTGTGTTTCGAGCACCTTCTTCACTCAGAGAAGGTCTAAATCTAGTTGTTTTTTATTCTTCTTTCCAGCTGTTCTTCCCTCTCTCAGGCTGGGAGAGCGTTGCAGGAGCAGGCAGTGGGCTGCTGCCGGGACAAGCCGGCACAGCAGAGGAGCTCTTCGCAGCTGGGAGCTGCAGCTCGGATTAACCCCTGGAAGGCCTGGAAGGGCTCTCGACACCGGGCTCTGAGCCTGCACGGGCTGCAGTGCCACTGGAGATCGAGCCTGAACCTTGGAAACCGGAGGCAAGGAAGCAGAAGGGCTGGGAAATGAAGAGCTCTGGAGCTAGGCTCTTTCCAAACTCCCAGGGCGCAAAATTACAAGCACTAAAGTAATCGTCATTAGCGAGGTGGCGTGCATGCAGCCAAGAAAGCCAAATGAGACAGGTGGGCACAGCGATGGCAGCGCCGCTTTAGGATTGCCCTGCAATGCCTTTAAATCCCTGTTTCCAAACTCCAGCGAAACTTGGGATTTTGTTCCTGGAATTGCCTGTGCTGTTACTTTTGCCCGTGGTGGCTGATCCCCATCTCTGGGCCACTTCAGGGAAGGGGAGATCCTCCAGGCATCAGGCTGCTTGCACTCAACAGCCCATTTTTCCCACCGCTTTCCAAACAATACAAAGTTTTTCTTTCCAGAAACTTTTGGCTGTCTGTGTGATGTGACCATTTCCAGAGAAATCCTTATTGCTACTACTGAGTAGGACCTGCTGGCACGGACAGAATGGATGGAACAAAACATCATGTTGTGCAAGCGGACTGAAAATGCTGGCTTTGAGAAGAAAGGCAGCCCTGGAAATAGTAAGGGAGGGTGTGTTTGGGTTGTTTTCCCATGGAAAAGGTTTACAACCTTTTCCTCCGCCTCCAGCACAGATGGGATCTTCATCACTCCTCAAAGGGAGCAGCATATCCGAGCTGTTCCCATTCAGAGGCAGCGCTGGTTATCTCCCTCCCTCTCCTCTGGTTATTCCTACTCGACACCCAGGACGTGAATCTTGGAAACATTTTGCTTCTCTGTGCCCACATCACGTGGAATTGAGCTAGAATGCACAACCACCTTGACCGTGTGCTCAGAGCGGGCTTCGTTGGGATTTCACAGCCAGTGGAAGAGAGACATGAGCTGGGCACATTCGTGGAGCCACGTGGGACACTTGGCATCACCTGCAGCTTTCAGATCTGGACCCAACACATTGCCAAAAGCCCCGCTGAGCTACAGAGAGCTGCTGCTGACAGCACAGGATTAACAATAAACTGCTAACACTCCCCTCCTGCATGTGTGCCGAGAAGAAAGCCCAGCTGGGTGAAAAAGTTTGGCAGTGAGGAGGTAGGGCCACAGGAGCCTTCCTTCAGAGGATGAGAGCTCTCTTAGAGGAGCCACCCTGCAATAGGTGCCTGGAGGGAAACTCTGGGGCAGCCTGAGCCACAGGAGCAGAGCAAACTGCCTGGGCTGATGCTGCTCCAGGAGAGAGCTGGGTGGAAAAAAGTACCTGGAAGGATGGGACATGGCAGCTGAACCAGAACCACTCTGCAGGCAGGATGTGCACAGCTCCAGGGCTGCTCCCAACACCCACCTCTCGTGCACTCCTGTGCAGCCCTTCCAGACGGATTCCCTGCTGCCTCTGGTTCTTTTCCAGCCTTGCAGTGCTTGTGTCTGACCTCAGTTTGGCACAGCCAAGCCAGTCCACCCCCAGAGCACAGGGGAAAGCTTCTCCCTGTGCTAGTCCTAGAAAGACACTGGCATCCCTCACGTTTTTAGGCTCCAGCTGAACAAACACAGGTGCGGCTCTTCACACCCGCCAGCTGCCCTGCTCTGGGGCATGAGCTCTCTCGCTGGCTCTAGGGCTTCATTTGCACAAGCTGCCTTTTTTATTCCCTCATCCCTAAGCCTCAGGCTGCGCCTGCTGCTCTGGGACTGGCATTGCTTGCACCTGAAGGCACTGGTGCTGCCTGACAGCCCAGGAGTTCCCCCTAATTTTTGTGCCCTATTTGCCTGCTCAGAGGGGATTCAGAAGCACAGAGGCGATGTCTGCACCCCCAAATCCTGCAGCAAAAGGCAGCAGCAGGCAGATACCATGGCCAGACAGAGACTGATGTCCTAAGGCTTGTCAAGGCCCTGGGAAAAGAGGCAGGAGCTTGGAGCAGGGTGGCTTGTGTCGCCCCTGGGTACACCAGCTCATTGTGCTGCCTTCCCTCCTGACACTATCCGGCCCGCCCAGGAAAGCTTCCTGCAGCCTGGTTATCTCTGTCTCAGCCTCACCCAGGCCAGAATAAGCCCTAAGCACAGCCCTGTGCTCCTCAAAGTTCACACGCAGCCAGGGATGGGGCCAGCTGAATTTAGAGATCACAGCCTGTGCAAAACCCTGAATTCCCTCCTTCTGTCCTGCCCAATGCCCCCACAACAGCAAAGAGGACTGGTCACTGGTGGTATATTTATATATCAATACAAATAAAAACAAAACAACTCCCAAAAAAGTAACAACAACAAAAAGGTCTCTCTGAGAGCAAAATAGGAACATTTACAAATACTTCTGGCTCCGGCTTGGATCAAGTTAATGTTAAATACAAAAAAAACCAAAAAAAAAAGCCAAACCCCCCCCCAAAAAAAAACCCAAAAAAAACAAACAAAAAAAAATCCCTAAAGAAAACAAAACAAAACCAAACCTCCCAAACCCTGTGCCCTCCTCCCCCAAGATTATAAAAAAATAAGAATATACACATTCAAAGAGCTTATTACAGTATAAAGTTGGGGAGGCCCTGGCAGTGGCAGGGGCTGGGGCCGGGGCAGAGGCTCGCTGCCTCTCCAGGGTTTGGGGTTTACTCTTGCTCAGCGCTTTCCCAGCCCATGACTCAACGCAGGGCTGGGCCCGCAGGTTCCCAGCGGCAGCTTGGGAAAGCCGGGCAACCTGGAGAGCCGGTCGGTCCCCACGGCCCCGTCACCTCGTACCTAGTGACTCCCTCAGCGGCACCCAAGGGGCAGGGGATGCCTGCCAGCTCGGCACCCCCCGGCAACCCAATCTTCCAGATCTTCCCAGGAGCACAGCTGCTACCTCTCCATGGGGAAGATGAGACAAAGAAACGGGGGACACTATCAAGTATCCTTGTGCCTCCGGCGGGATGGGCACAGGAGTGGGTACTGGGTCCCAACGTTGCCCATGAGGGGAAATAAGGAGAAGGGGGAAGACAAAACAGAGCCAGGACCAAACTCACCGCTCCAGAGGTCACAGCAGTGAGGTGGCAGGACAGCGGGGACCCTTGGGAGCTGCTAAAGGGGAGGTCGTATATATGTATCTATATAATAGGCAGGGGGTCACAGCGGGGGTATATTATATACACACATACATACAGACACACAGATGGAGCCTCAGGTGAGACCGAAGCACGTGCCTCTTCCTCAGCCCCAGGACTGGGAATACATTTCCTAGGACTTTGCAAAGCCCCTCTCTAGGTACATCTTAGGTGGTCCCGACAACAACAAAAAAACCAAAACCAAAACAAAAAAACAACTTGAAGACAAACCACCTCCCCAACCATCCAAACCCAACCAAAACACGACGGGGAGGAGTGAGAGCCCCTTCCCATGCCGGCAAGTGGCAGCCACCGTTTGGGTTGAATAAGGCACAGTTCCATAGCAGTGCTGACAGCTGAGGTGCTCCGGCACCGCCGCCCCCACGGCTCTGCTGAGTCCCGGCGGGCACCGAGGCGACACGGGCAGCCCCCGAGGATGGGCAGCGGCGTCTGCAGGGAGGCGGAGGGTCTCAGTGCCCCGGCGAGCTCTTGTCCTGGGCGGCCCGGCTGTGGTTGGTGAGCAGCAGGCCCTCGCGCTGGGCGTGCTCGAGGATGGCGGTGTAGCAGAAGTAATACTGCTCGGGGGTCTGGATGCTGAAGGCGCGCTGGGTGCGCATGCGCAGCACTGTCTGGTAGATGTTCAGGGTGCCCACGTCCTGCAGCTGCGACAGGCAGATGTCCAGCGCGCAGAAGGTACCTAGAGACGGTGATGGGGATGGTGTCAGACACCAAACGGTGCCATCACTGCCCCTTGTGAGAACTGGAGTGGTGGTGCTCAGCCCCCCACAGATCTCCTAGAGGCACCTGGGCACTTCTCCCAAGTCTGATGGTTGTGGGAAGTCCTGAGGACATGTCTCAGGTCAACCAGCTTGCAAATACAGCGCAAGTCCCCAGGATGGAAATGCCCCAGGGAAGCTGGACTTGTCACCCCTTCATCCCCAAACCTCCCCCGCACCCATTACCTGTCCTGCCAATGCCAGCGCTGCAGTGGACCACGACTGGGGGTCCCCCGGGGTGACCCTTGAAACGAGGTCCCAGGGCGCTGACAGCCACTCTCTGCTGCTGCTTCACGGCCCCCAAAAAGTCAATGAGAGTGGCGGCGGACGAGGGGACGCCATAATCTGGCCAGCTCAGGTACTGGAAGTGGGACACCAGCCGCCGCTCCCTGGTCTGGGGAAAGCAGGGGTTTAGACTTTCTTTCCTACTCTGACCCTTGGTGCCCC